GGATAAAATCATTTCTACACAAGAGATTATTTGGACCATCTGGGGAGGTTGTGCTTGTTATAAAAATAATTACAAATACACTGAATAAAGTGATTTTAGTAACAAATATATTTAAAAGAATCTGGTTTTTCAGTAAAATGAAACAGTAATGCTACTATATAATCATGCATAATTTAAAAGCCATGATGAAAAAAAAATATCTGAAGATGTATATAATAGTTCAAGATGTTTCAACTGTATTTTATTATCAGTTTTCATATGCATGATGAAAGTTAAGATTGACTTTAGGTTAAGGGGTAGTGAATATTCTGGGTCATGGATCTCAACCTAAGAACTCCTCCCATACTAAGGTTTAGACAAGACAGGAAGTGAAAGAAATATTTAGAAAGAATGTATTTCAAAAACTAAACATCTGAAAAGGAAAGGGGAAGGGAAGAAGAGTGGGGGGGGCAAGGATGGAAGGGATGGAGGAGAAGTGAGGAGAGGAAAAGAGGGGCAGAAACAGAGAGGAAGAGAGGGGAAAAGGAGGGTTGGGAAGGATGAGAGGGAAGTAGAGGAGCAGGGAGGAACAAATGGGAGGGGGAGAGAAAACCTCCTACCATAAACTGGATTGGCTCCAAGAAGTAAAAAGGAAATAACTCCTATATCAACTGTTATTTAACAGTTTCCTATACTTAGCTAAAAAGAGCAAAGACAAACAAGGGTAATACCGCCAAAACATGATTCATTTTCAAGATGAATCCCTCCCTGTTCAAAGGTTTACATTGTTTTAACCAGCATGAGACTGTTTACCCACATGAACTGTAAATACATCATTTTTAGAACTAACCAACACAATGCCGATTTGTTTTGTCTTGGAAGATACAAAAAGAAAATGAAAAATGATCATCACTCTAATGTCTATGTTCCAAAATGAGGAAGCAACATGGAATGATGGAGAAATTCTAAGATAATCACATTTTACCACATGTATATAAGAGGAAAATACCTCTAAAATTCATTGCTTTTGAAAAAGGATCCAGTGTAATCGAAAAGTGTGGAATCTCGTTGAGATTTCCAGAAAAACAGGAGAGCTATGAAAGCAATAAAGGTATAGTATTAATCTTCAACTACAATCCTTTCATAAATAATAAAATCCTTGTCTTATACTTTCCATCTTCACCAAAAACACACTGACATGAAGTCCTTTCAGTTAGTTAATCACTCCCTACTCTTTGATGTAGAAGATATATGAGAGCAGGGATGACCTGAATATTACCAGGTTATGTCCAAAGTTTGGCAAAGGATGTGTGCGGGCTATAAAGGTGGCTCCGTAGTAGAATGCTTGCCTTGCATGCATGAGGCCCTGGGTTCAACTCCTCAGCACTAAATAAGCCAGAAGTGGCGCTGTGGTTCAAGTGGAGAGCGCTAGCCTTGAGACGAAGAGCTGAGGGACAACTCCCAGGCCCAGAGTTCAGGACCCACAGCCAACAACAACAACAAAAAAAGTATGTGCAGTTTTATTAGTAAAGAAGGAAGAACAGAAAGATGAACCCTAAATTTATCAACAAATGTCCTTTTACCTTATCCACCTAGCACACTGTATATGTGAACTAACTCTTCCAGAGTCTTTGGTGGTATTTTGTTCAAGTTGAAAACAAAGAGAAAAGCCCTGAAATCATATATATTATACCCCTCTATCTATATCATCACCAAAATATACTCCAAAAGTAAGTTAATGGTCACATGGCAGTGGCTCACATCTATAATCCTAGCTATTCAGGAGACTGAGATCTTAGGATCTTGGTTCAAAGACAGCCAGGGTAGGAAAATCTAAAGGTTCTTATCTCCAATAGACTACTCAGAAAAAGCTAAAAGTGGCAATGTGGCTCAAGTGGGAGAGCACTAGCCTTGTACCCAGGGATAATACACAGAGCCTGAGTTTAAGCCCCAGAGCCAGCAAAAAAAAAAAAAGTAAGTAATAACTTAGGTCTAAAATAAAATGCCTTGCAAATGGCAGACAAGATTGACATCTTATACCAGGCTGGCCTCAAACTCTCAACCATCCTTCCTCTGTATAGGTATAGACTACCATATCCAGCAAAAGTTCCCATATTTTGCTGGTTGTTTAAAGATTCTCATGGATTTGTTGGTTAGGCTAATGCTAAACCATGATCCTCGGACCTCACACTCCTGAGTAACTAGAATTATAAACGTGAGCCACTAGAAGTTGGCAAACCATACGTATACACATACATATATAAGTATATACATTTATATACAAATATACATGCATACATATATAAAAGTTCTGATTACATTTTAAATTAGTTTTCATCTAGAACTGATTCTCAAAAACATTTAATCCTAAAAACCTGTCAACCTTGAAGTACACAAGTCACTAGTTAAGCACATAAGAACAATAACTGCTCTTATAAAAATAATAGCTAAAAAATAATATTAATAAAACTAAAATAAGCAAGAGAAAAAAGATTATTTTTTTTCTTTATAGTGGCTCTTCCCAGAACACAATAAACATATTATTTTCAGTCTATCTATAGAAAATACATACATACATCTGCAATAGGTTACATTGTCAGTACAGAAGCTAAGACATAGACAAATATGCAATAGAGTTGTAAGGAAGTACTCAAACAAACCAATTCCTAACAGCCAAAAGTTAGAAGCAAACAATGTGCCTTCCAGGTTTGAATGTATGCAAGAGAATGTGTTCATACAAAGAAGTACAATATAACCATAAAAATAAAAAGAATGAAGTACTGATATACACTACAATGTGGAAGAACATCAAAAGCACTGTATTAAGTGAAAGGAGTCAAAAACAAAAGGGTATGTATTGCAAATAAATTATATAAAATACACAGAACAAATGCACCCACTGAATAAGTTTTTAGATGTTCACAGTTGGTGTGAGGCGAATGTTATAGAAGAAGAGTTGGTAGGTGGTAAAACACTGTGCATGTACAAATGTTACATTTAAATGGTTGCTTTTATGTAGTATGAATTTTAAATTATTAAGAAACATTTTCCATGATTATCATATACTCTATTTTTAAAAAGCTTCAGTTTTCAAACATAAATGGTTATCTGTCATAGAAAATACGCAATGCTCAAGGTGGCTCAGTGGTAGAGTGCTTGCCTTGCATGCCAGAGGCCCTCGGTTCGATTCCTCAGCACCACATAAGCAAAAAAAAAGAAAAAAGCCGGAAATGGTGCTGTGGCTCAAGTGGTAGAGCACTAGCCTTGAGCTGAAGAGCTGAGGGACAGCGCCCAGGCCCAGAGTTCAGACCCCACAAACGGACCCAAAAAAAAAAAAAGGGGGGGGAATCAGTCCTGCGCTGGTGACTCATGCCTCTAATCCTAGCTACTCAGGAGTCTGAGATCTGAGGATCACGGTTCAAAGCCAGCCCAGGCAGGAAAGTCCGTAAGACTCTCATCTCCAATAAACCACCAGAAAACCAAAAGTGGTGCTGTAGCTCAAGTGGTAGGGCACTAGCCTTGAGCTGAAGAGTTGAGGGACAGCGCATAAGACCAGAGTTCAAGCCCCACGACTGATCAAAAAAAAAGGGGAGGGGAATCATTCTTATCAGAATTAGTTTAGGGTTATCTAACAAATTAAAATACACATATGACTCAAAATTTCCATTGAAAAATGAGAAGGCCAGGCAGAGTGGCTCAAGCGTCATGTACCAGTGTCTCATGCTAGTAATCAGGAGGCAGCGACTAGATTGGAAGTATTTACAGTTCGAAGCCAGCCCAGGCTTACATTTAAGATGCCCTCTCAGCCAAGAGCTACACTGTGGGGTTGTTCAGCCTAGTTACATGAGAGGCAGATATTGGGAAGCTCACAGTTCCAGGCCAGAATAGGCAGAAAAGCCCATGAAGCTCCAACTAAAAAGAAAAAGCCAAAACATACTATATACATCTCAACCATGGTGACAAGCTATGTTCCAATTATTTACCTAGGCTAGAAGTAAGACACAATCTTAAAAATAATCAGTTAAGCCGGGCGCTGGTGGCTCACGCCTGTAATCCTAGCTACTCAGGAGGCTGAGATCTGAGGATCACGGTTCAAAGCCAGCCCGGGCAGGAGAGACCATGAAACTCTTATCTCCAATAAACCACCAGAAAACCGGAAGTGGCGCTGTAGCTCAAGTGGTAGAGTGCTCGCCTTGAGCTGAAGAGCTGAGGGACAGCGCCCAGGCCCAGAGTTCAAGCCCCACGACCGACAAAAAAAAAAAAAAAAAATAATCAGTTAAGAAGTGCTTGGGCAACATAGCGTTGCCAGGCAAGAGTAAGGCCCCAAGATCAAATCCCAAAACCACCAAAAGAAAAAATAGTAAAAACTGAAGATAAATAAAGAACACACCACTCATGATTATTAGCTCTGAAATAAGGAATATTTCTTAATAAACTTAGCCCTAGTCCACTGGACACAAAGTGTTTTGAAAGAAATAAGTGGCAATGGGACTCATTCCTAAAGTTATATAAACAGTGTTAAACTTTATATGCTTAAATGATACCAAATATCCTTATATAATACAAAAAAAGTATTGCACAATATTGCCAGGTGCAGGTGGGTCACACCTGTAATCCTAGATACTCAGGAGGCTGAGATCTGAGGATTGCCATTTGAAGCTATCTTAGGCAAGTCCCTGAGACTCTATCTCCAATTAAATACTAAGAAGCTAGAAGATGGGCTGTAACTAAAAGTGGTAGAGCACTAGCCTTGAGCAAATAAGTTTAGGGACAGTACCCAAGAAAGACCAAAAAAAAAAATACAATACTATTTTTATAATTTTATATTGTCTCAAATGTACTACATTTCTATATTGTCTCAAATTTGTTACAAGGTTTAATAAATAAAAGTGTGTTAAATGAGCAGATAATCTTATTATACGCACATTAAAAGCAGTTTGTTAACTGTTTTATCCCTAGAATTAAGGACACTAGGAACCAAGACTGCAGGAGGCAGTGAGGAGAGACAAAATAAGGTTTACCATGCAGAGGTGAGCCAGACGGACTGCTTGATAGACCGGGAACAGGGCTACAGCGTCCTCCTTGCTTTGACGTCAGCTCTTGTTCAATCTCTTCCAGTCCAGCACTTTTCTGGAAACGGCTCATGCGATTCACTACTCGTGGTGACATGTGTGTGCGAACACATGGCTGGCCACCATAAGGGTTGATGGGGAACACATGAGAAGTACCTCGGAGCGTACTGACTACAACCCAGCGACAGTCATGGCTGAAGCAGATGTCCTGCACCTAGAAACAAGAAAGGAAAGTTGGTTATTAATACCTGAAATCATTTATTGAGTTCCATATAGCAACAAAAAGAAATGGAATTAATTGCTTCATCAAATTTGCTTTAAAATGAATGATATTAATTTTTTTACTTTATAGATGAGAGCTTCTCAATGAATTTTGTTCAATAAATGTCGGAAATCTGTCACAATTTAGGGAATTCTGTTCATTGTGTCACAGAGTACCAAGTCATAAAACATGACCTAAATAAACAGTGTTATCCTATTGAAATGTAACACAAAATAAATAAGTCAGGCTTATTTTCCTATAACATTTTCTAATAAGTATGTAGTAGTCAAAATGTAAAAGTACCCTACATAATTAAGTCTAAAATTAATTAAAGCTGTCATTTAAATATTCTGATGTACCACTGCAATACGCTAGGAATAAAGAGATAAATAATAAACTCTTTGAAGTCTTGGACTACTGGGAGGAAAGTACATAGGAAATTTACTAAAATAGAATGGGAGAAGTAAAATGGCTGTCTATACACAAGCAAATTGGTTAAAAAATTGAAAAAGGAAGGACATCATAGAGACTGCCTCTCTGAGAAGATATCCAATCTCCTCCTTTCAGAGATGATGGAGGGAAAGAAAGCATGAGTAGTAAATAAGAAAGAGTACTGTCAGACATAAGAATGTGTACAAAATAAAACAGAAAAAGAATACAATTTAGATGTATTTGGATATTCCATTTTAAATATAAATGAGAAAGAAATGGAAGGCAAGTTGTACAGAGACAAAGAAGGCCAAAGTGTTGGGTATTATTGAAAAATAGTTGAGAGATTTCAATTTTGAAAAGGTTGTTCTGCAAGTAAACTTTAAGTAGACTGATGGGTAGCAATAAAAAATTTAGAAGCCGGGCACCGGTGGCTCACACCTGTAATCCTAGCTACTCAGGAGGCTGAAATCTGAGAATTGCGGTTCAAAGCCAGCCCGGGCAGGAAAGACCGTGAGACTCCTATCTCCAATAAACCACTAGAAAACCAGAAGTGGCTCTGTAGCTCAAGTGGTAGAGCGCTCGCCTTGAACTGAAGAGCTGAGGGACAGCGCCCAGGCCCAGAGTTCAAGCCCCATGACCGACAAAAAAAAAAAAAAAAAATTTAGATAGGAATTTATTCCAATATTCAGGGATATATATTCTAAACAGAAGTGCAATGTAAAAGAAAGGTCTTACACACATACATACATACACACAAACACACACACACACAATTTATATAGCTGCAGATGCCTGATTTTTTTAAATTAAGGAGCTACTCAAAATTGCATAGCATAGTCTCGATTTTACTGGCAATGCAAACACAGAAAATATGTAAAGGAATGAGCCATGTTTTTAAAATAAACACCATTTACAAAAGTAAGTGGTAGTCACAGATTTAATCCAGACAAACTAGTCACAACACTGCTCTTTCAACATAAATTTGAAATAGTTTGAATTCACTAGTTTTATCATGAGACCAATCTGATGAGGACAACTTAAAAACATCTCCAATTTACTTTTTTCATAAAAAGAAAGTCAAGTAAAATTTAATTGTGATCTAAGCTTTATTATTTTTCCTCTTGGGGGCCATGAATTCACACCAGAGCCTCACACATATGAAGCATGCATTGTTAACTGAGCCACAGCCCCATCTCAACTCTATTTAGACATAGCCTCTAACAATAAACCAGATAACACATATTTTATTTACTTTTTAGCTTGTATCAGTTTTATTGGGAAGGAGAAAAGGCAAAGTTATATCTCCACGTGTTTATACTGTATAAAGTGTGTGGCAACACATACTTTAAGAATCTTACTACAATAACTAAATTAACTTTTCATCACACAGAAAATATTGCTTAAAAAATTCAGGCATTACAAAAATAAAAGCAAAATAAAATGAGGAGGTCTTTGTGAAGAATAAGGTTTAACTTTTAAAATGCATATGTCTGTGTATGAGTTTGAAGTGTGTTAGCTTTTATTATATATAACTACATGAATTGCGTTAAATGCTTCAGATAGAGAACTTTCTAATGTACGAGAGCTTCAAATAAATCTAAATTCAACTGGATGCAGGTGACTCATTGTAACTGTAGCTATTCCAGAGGCTAAGATCAGAGAATACAGCTCTGGCTGGCTTGACATCAATTTGGATGTGTTAAATTGTAAGTTTTCAAGATGGCCTGAAATTAAATTGTAATACCAGCACAGGAGGCTGAGACCAGAGGATAATGAATTTGAGACCTGGCTGGCTTACACTGTGATACGCTGTACATGCTGGGAGGCAAGGGACCAGTATTTCACTGCTACCTTACTGCTTGACAAACATTAATGCCTGGACAGACACAAAGTACAAACATGTCTACCCATCTTTATTCTTCTGAAATACCCAAATGATATTTGAGTGTTAAAATTTAAGAGCACCCTGAAAGCTGACAAATATAAACTGTTTTCCATAAATATTTAACTCTGTCAGTTGCCTATCTTTTTGTGGGAGGAGAGAGAAAAACTTACAAGAAACAGAAAACCTGCAATAGCCAAGGCCACAGAAGAGAAGCATACATAGTGCCATCAGAATCTCCTGTCATAATATCACACTTATATCCTCCTGCCACAACCAAAGCAATGAAAAATATCCTTAAGCTTCTTATTGAGCTTATTATGTTCGGGCCCTCCTTAGTAGAACTGAAGCTTGTTATCAGAATTCTTTTCCCAAAACACATACAATCAGGATCACTTTCCACTCTGTCAATGAAAAAAAGAGATTCCTTCTTTCACTTGAAGCATGCCTGTGATATGAAGTGGCTTTCACAATCACTATCAAGACAGGAAGACAGAATTCTATCCAATGCTTACTTAGAAAACTGCTATTAGAAAAAGATTCTTCTCTATGACCTTGAAGACACATCAACACATATAAATGAGCAGAGAACAGTTGGAAAAGATATTAGCTGTCAAACAAATAAGAGAAATTTCAATCTTTTAAACATAGCAAAATCACCAATCTATAAAATACAAAATGATGTGTCTGTTAGTATTAAAGATCTAGTTGGGCTGCTTTTCACACATAAAAAACAACATACTAAAGCAGGGCCCTGGTAGTTCATACCTGTAATCCTAGCTACTCAGGAGGCTGAGATCTTAGGATCAAAGCCAGACCAGGCAGGGAAAGTCCATGAGACTCTTATCTCCAATTAACGATCAAAAAATCAGAAGTGGAGCTGTGGTTCAAGTGGTAGAGCACTAGCATTGACCTGAAGGGCTCAAGGACAGGGCCCAGGCCCAGAGCTCAAGCAGCACAACCAACAAAAAAAAAAAAAAATAGAAAATACTAAAGTATGCTGAAAACCTAGCAAGTACAAGCATCTCATATAAATGTATTATTGTATTAAATAGTATATTAAACAATACTATTTAATGCTTACATATTATATTTAATATATTTATCATAATACATCTAATATATAATATTAGAATACAAGTTTTTCATACATATTTATATATTGTATATATTTTTAAGTTATGTTTGTACACTATAATAAATTTACCTATCATATAATAGTAGATATATATTACCTATATTTATGTAAAGACAATCTAATAAAAAATGATGGCATCATCACATATCTTTGACCTCAATTTGGAACACTCTCTCCTCTTAACTCAGAAGATCTGATGGGAGTTGGTCGCGATCATCAGTTTCACGGCAAGCACAGATTAACACAATTTACAGTTACACTCTCAAACTTCTTTGAAAGAAAGATAAAAACCTGAACATTCACAAACCACTACTCTGAACTCAGGAACTAAGCACTTGTGTTTCAAGAGATAAATTGTATGTGCTTCTATGCTCCCCATTTCAAAATGCTATTAAACCAAATGGTTGCGGACTCAAGGGAATATTTTTTTTTCCCAGTCCTGGGACTTAAAACCCTGGGCTTCTTTTGCTCAAGGGTAAAGCTCTACTTTAAGCCACAGCACCACTTCCAGATTTTTCTGTTTATGTGGTACTGAGGAATCGAACACAGTGCTTCATGCATACTAGGCAAACACTACCTGCATACCACATTCCCAGTTCTAGGAACATTTCTTTTTTTTAAGAACATTTTTTTTGGTGGGGGGGCTCCAAAAACAACGTAATTTAGTTTAAAAATTCTCACCAGCATACTCATTCTCAGTTTAGGCTTTTAAATTAAGACTCAAATTAATCATTAGTCACTCAATTTACTATTCTTTCAGAGTTCTCTCCACTTATTTCTTATTGTGGTGCTATGAAACTGGATTATCACAAACCAACGAGGTTCCAGAAAGCTAATATATTCTTTCCTTACTAGATACTATAATCATATTGCAGTAATTTTGACAAAGGCAAATGACTTATGGCAATATGAGTGGCTCATTTTATGTATCTCATTAAGAATCAAATAGCAGGCCATCAAAATCTAATGTAGCAGACATAGTTACGGGAACATGACATTTTTAAGTGACTTCAGTTATGTCTGATATTTTATCTGAACTTTAAAGAGCTATATATTTAATTGACAAAGCAGGTTAAATTCAAAGTGCATATAAAACAAAAGAATTCAGGTACTAAAATGAAGTGTTGCAACATTTTAGCATCCAAGATACAGAAATGGCCATCTCATACACCTCCAAAATTATGCTCGAATTAATTCCTCAAACCTTATTAACAACCTGTTTATAGGAACAATAAAATTTTCAGTTATTTTAATATTCTAAAATCTGAACTTGAGGTTTGCAAACTTTAGATAGAAGAAATCTGAGAGCTAGTAGTAGCTCTGGTCAAGTGTTTTCATACGTAAGACCTTGTGATCAATCATGGGACTGGGGAGGGTAGTATTTCAGGTGTGGAAGGGAGGATAAATCACCAAATAATTTTTAAGAAATGCAGGTCCTGAGGTGCAACCTTACGGATTATGATTCAGTAGATATTAGCATAGGGACAGAAACAATAAAGA